TTTAATGTTTATTTATTTCTGAGAGAGAGAGAGAGAGAAAGAGATAGAGAGAGAGAGAGAGAGAGAGAGAGAGCATGAGCATGAGCGGGGGAGGGGGCGACAGAGAGAGGGAAACACAGAATCCAGGCGCCCCTGTTTGTTTGCTTTTTAAGTCACCAGATGGGGGCGCCTGGGTGGCTCAGTCAGTTAAGCGTCAGACTTCGGCTCAGGTCATGATCTGATGGTTCGTGAGTTCGAGCCCCGTGTCTGGCTCTGTGCTGACAGCTTGGAACTTAGAACCTGGAGCCTGCTTCGGATTCTGTTCTCCCTCTCTCTCTGCCCCTTCCCCACCGGCGCTCTGTCTCTGTCTCTCAAAAATGAATAAACACTAAAAAGCTTTTTTTTTAAAATCACTAGATGGAGGAGCTATTGTCCTGCACTGTTCCTTACCTCCCCCACCCCCAAATAAAACGGGCTTTTTCCTAATGCCACTCTGCTCAGCTGCCTGACAGTTTTTCTTAAGTCCGTCCAGAGAATGGCCCTGGTTGGCCATACTCTAGGAATAGCTCTGAACTTTAGTTAGCTAGAGGGTTCAGTTAACCAGAATTGAACAACAAGATCTGCTTGTTAATAATTCTTCAGGCATTTAGCCATAGTAGTCATATTTTACGTTTTCTATCCCTTTTGCCAGGATGTTATATGTATATAATAAACACTGAATTAATACTGATTGGCTCTTGCTATTAGGTTTACATAATCAAGTGCTCCCATCCTAGGGCAAATTCTGGTCTACATAACCACAGAGATAACTCCATGTTGGATTTCTTGTATCTATGAAAACTTAGTACCGCGCTAGGCAAAGTCATGTTTGCATATAGCAGTAATCTAGACTTTTTAACAGCTTTATTGATATGATTTACATAACATAAAACCCAGCCTTTTAAAGAGTACTGTTCAGGGGCGCCTGGGTGGCTCAGTCGGTTGAGCATCCGACTTCCGCTCGGGTCGTGAACTCGCTGCTTCATGAGTTCGAGCCCCGCGTCGGGCTCTGCGCTGACAGCTCAGAGCCTGGAGCCTGCTTCTGATTCTGTGTCTCCCTCTCTCTCTGTCTCTCCCCCACTCATGCTCTGTCTCTCTCTGTCTCAAACATAAAGATAAACATTAAAAAAAAATTTTTAAAGTGTACCGTTCAGTGGTCTGTAGCATATCCACAGAGTTGTGTAACAGCCCCAACTCCTCAGTTCCAGAATATTTCTATTTCTCCAAAAAAAAAAAAAAAAAAAATCAAATCTTTAATCGGCAGTCATCTGTTATTCGTCCGTTCCTCCAGCCCCCGACAACCACGAATTGACTTTTGTCTCAATGGATTTGCCTCTTCTGGGTATTTCATGTAAATTGGTCTCGTGATTCTTTTGTGACTGGCGTCTTTCATTTAGCTTAATGTTTTTGAGGTTCTTGCATGCTGTAGCTTGTATCACTACCTCACTCTTCCTTACGGCTGATGATATTCCATTGTATCCATGTACTACAGTTTAGTTCTCCATTCACCAGCCGATGGACATAGGGAAGTAATCTAGACTTAGCAATTTGTGTCGTAAGAGACAGGACAAAAAAGTAAAAATGTTTTATGGATTTTCTTTCAGTTAATCCTCCTCAGGATTTTGAGATAGTAGACCCAGGATACTTAGGTTATCTCTGTTTGCAATGGCAACCTCCACTGTTTCTGGATAAGTTTGAGGAATGCACAGTAGAATATGAATTAAAATACCGAAACATTGATAGTGAAGACTGGAAGGTAAGTAACGCACACACTTGCGATATCTTGCAATAGCAGTGCGATTATTAGGAGCTTTCTTGTGATTTTTAATGTCCCTGTCCATTCTAATTCCTGTCTCTCCTGTGCCCGCTGCTGTCTCCTGCGTCCTGCCACATCTATTTGCATCCTCCCCAGTATTAAGACTACCATTAGAAGTCCGGGGGAAACAAAATACGTGATCCCACCCATGGAATATGGACTTGAATAATACACATTTTATTGTATTTTCCAGTTACTTATATGCTTCTATACGGGTCTTATGTATGCTACTGGACTGTGAGCTTTCTCTTTGTAAAAATTAAGCCCCATTTATCTTTGTACTGGCCCCATAGAACACGGCACAGTCCTTTGCATATATTATAGTAAGTGTTCAGTGAACATTTATTGGCTTATTAACTACACAGTCAAGCATGCTCAAAGATTTTTGTTTTGCGAAGCATACTGTTTCCTTCCTAATTCAGCTAGGCAGTTTCAAGAGACCATTCAAATCAAACATTTATGGAGGATCCTTTTGTACCACGCACTTGGCTACGTATCGGGAACACAAGGATAAATGACATGATTGTAGTCCAGTTGCCTCCCAGATTTCACTGTATATGATTCCTGAAGTGTTCATGTGATATTTGAAATGTGATAAGTCATCTGTCATGTAATATGCATATGGTATCTGAAAATTCTCTTGATTTCAACTTCATTATAGGTCAGGTTCCTGCCGTAGAGTCTCTTTTTCAGAATTTTTGGGGGTTATTTTGAATAATACATTAAGATTCAAATGATCTCACCTCATGATATAATATGCACAAGTGAGCTCTGCCAGGATTGTATCTAGGGCTTTGTATCAGATAATCATGAGGAATTTCTTAGACACTCAGAGCCCCCCCCCCCCCGCCGTGACTTCTTAGCCTTAATAATGTGGCTCACGATGCTGTCTCTGCTTATAAGCTTGACTTTGTCTCATCTTCTTATCAAACAGACCATCATTACCAAGAATCTACATTACAACGACGGGTTTGATCTTAACAAAGGCGTTGAAGCAAAGATACACACGCTTCTGCCCCCGCACTGCACAAATGGATCAGAAGTTCAAAGTTTATGGTCAGAAGCTACTTACTGGAAATCACCACAAGGTTAAAACAAAGCTCTCCTTTCATATTGAATACTGCCAGAACAATCCATATGGGAAATAAGGCCCCTTAACTCTTATATATCAGACTGTATGTAGAAGTGAACGTGTGGCAACAAATAGAATTCTTTTTAGGAGTGGGTGACTGGCCTTTTTGAATCCTTTACATCAGCAAACCCATCTTGTTAGGTTAATATAGTTCCCAGTTTGGGAGTCATATTAGTAAATATGCATGTGAGTGTTTACTCAACTGCTCAGAGCATCGTAGAAATATTCATTTAGTGCTTTTGCATATGCTTACGCTAGTATCATTAAATGAGCCCTCAAAGGGTTTTGATTTTGCATGCCCCACTTACAATGAAGTGATTTCTAACAGCTTCCTTTTGGTATAGTTCTGATTATGTTGACTGCTAAATGAAAAGGAGGGGTCAAAAGAGATGAATTAAAATTGCATAGTGACCTCCCAAATGAGTCATCACCGTGCCTTTCAAGCATTGACAGTTCATTCATTCCTTAGGAAGTCAGGAAACCAAGATTCAGGAAATGGATTGTGTGTATTACAACTGGCAATATTTACTCTGCTCCTGGAAACCTGGTCTGGGTGTCCATTTCCATACCAGTTATCAATTGTTTTACTGGTAAGTATTTTTATAATAAGAATCCCATATTAAGAAAATATCGATAAAAACGAATCTGTCGTATGAGTGGTATTTTCACTAAATGAAATACAGTATTCTTCAGAGCTGCATTTACGATGAAGGTTGTTTACAATTGTTTGGAGTTTTCGACGGGAAGAAGTAGGTTTAGGCTGTAGCTACTGGAAAGGCACTCTCTGGGTGATGGAAAGATTGCAACGTTGTTCCCGTGCCGGATCAAATTTTGTGTTCTTCAGACACATAGGATTATAGCCTCAAAACCTTCGGCATATTTTGTACTCCCGCCTTCTAAAAAGCAGGCACCTGTTACAACTGGATCCTTTTTCTGACTTCTCTTTTTTATTTTATTTTATTTATTTATTTATTTATTTATTTATTTT